GCTCCAGTTTGAGTGAAGTATTAAAGACAGTGTCGAATTTAGTTACGTCCCGCTTTATATCACTGACCAAATTGTGTTTCGCTGCTTCTTTTACAAGAGCTCCACATTACTCCACACCAAGTTTCACATATGTTGAAGATTAACAGCTTTTCCATAACACAGCAAAAAGCTAGGTGGATATATTTGGATATAGCAGCGTTTCAGGACTTCAAAGTTTCCCTCCTCTTGTCACACGCTTGCGACGATTTCGCCAGAGTCTGTCGAAAAATTAAAAAAAACAACATATTTTCAAGTCTGAGTTTCGCCTGAATTGTAAGCAATAATTAAGTGACAATAAAGTTTATGTCTGTAGATGCTGCTCAGTTTTGTTTGTGTAAAAATCCAATAAATTGTCTGTTGTCGATGAATAAGAGCGCCCGCCNTTGTGTAAAAATCCAATAAATTGTCTGTTGTCGATGAATAAGAGCGCCCGCCGATGCGTGTTTTGTACAGTTAGTAAAACATGACAAATTGGACTTCTCCACTTATATAATATCTCTAGTTTTTAAATATGTTAAAGGTTGATAAATGTTTGAGAACATACTAAAAGCTTAGCTGAAAATATGTGAATAGAACAGAAAAAATCAGTAAAGTTACGATGACGCTTTCTTTAATCAACTCGAATAACCATTTCGATTTCGTTGGTTCAGTTATCAAAACTCCTTGTCTATTTTATTTTCGCAGTGTAAAATTTCACTATGTTAAAGAAACAACACATATGATGTTAGTAGCCTTTTGGCGTTGGTGAAAATAGTTGCAGCATCACAGCACAAAAGACAACGAAAGAAATCTTTGTCAAGATTTGTTGAAAACACCGACTCGGATTTAAAGTGCACGCGCTGCACTATGCAAATGACTACTTGTACGCGTCAGACTTTCCTTTCAAAAACATTTGCAAACTCGCCAAACAAACAGAAACAATAATAAACTACCAAAAAACAGGGTTTGGTTATGGTTAGGAATTGTTTGGGAAACTNCCTATGATATGGGACAATTTTTCTATTTTTAGAAGAAATTGCGCCATCATGTGCGGCACACGCGCGTACACGCTGCGAGGATTTTTGAGGATGTAGCGCGGGGAAATGGCGTCCAAAATTCCCGAAATGTTTGATGCTTCTCACCCACAGATCATAATACGTTCATGTCTGTTGGAATTTGGTTCAGTATTTTCGTCGTAAGCTGCTCCAGTTTGAGTGAAGTATTAAAGACAGTGTCGAATTTAGTTACGTCCCGCTTTATATCACTGACCAAGTTGTGTTCCGCTGCAACAACACACATGATGTTAGTAGGCTTTTGGCGTTGGTGAAAATAGTTGCAGGATCTCAGCACAAAAGACAACGAAAGAAATCTTTGTCAAGATTTGCTGAAAACACCGACTCGGACTTAAAGTGCACGCGCTGCACTATGCAAATGGCTACTTGTACGCGTCAGACTTTCCTTTCAAAAACATTTGCCAACTCGCCAAACAAACAGAAACAATAATAAACTACCAAAAAACAGGGTTTGGTTATGGTTAGGAATTGTTTGGGAAACTCACAAATTAACTGGATACCAGAGTAAAGAGTTTTCTTGCATAACTTTTCTTTACAGAACAAACGCAAAATCTTACTCATGCCACTAGCGCGAGCAGATATTATTCATTCACAGCGCAAAATTGAAGTCTTGTTTTCGACCCTGAAAAACTCACCTTTTCCATTAGCTCAGAACATAAAACTACATATAAGAGCCCTGGTTCTTATTCCCTGC